GCTAAAGCCTTGAGCAACCTGCTCTGCCCCGGGCAGGGAGCCTGAGCCGCATCCAGACCTACTTGAGGAAGACGAGCAGGAAGAAGGTGCAGACGATGAGCACGAGGTGCAGGTTCCCCACGGAGGCTCCGGGTGATTCCGAACCATGGCACATCCCATGGGGCCACCCCGAGCGGCTCCCGGAGCACACGGAGCACACCCTGCCCACGGGGGCACTGGAGTCGTGGGTGACACTGGAGTCCTGGGTGGCACTGGGGTCCCGTGTGGCACTGGAGTCCTGTGTGGCACTGGGGTCTCGGGTGACACTGAGCTCTGCCACTGCTGCACAGCCCTCGGCTCTGAGCCTCCCTCCAGGAGGAAAAAGGCAGCAAACACCCACCAGCAGTAACCAGCTGCAGTTTAATAGCTGTTCCAGGGAAGGGCTATGGTGGGACCAGTTCATCACACCATTTTCATACTTCAGGGTCGAGAGCTGACAGACACACAGGGATTGCTACATATGAATGATGATGGAGAACTCCCCCCATGTCAGTGCATGGAGGCAATGTGGACCTGCACTGGGCACAGCCCCAGCCCCAGCCCACCTGCTCATCACTGGACCAGTGCTGTCCAGTGACTTTCCACTCCCAACGTGATTTTGGGATGAGGGACCCCACTGGGCTCTGGTCAGAGCAGGTTCCTTCAGTCCTGGGGCTGTTGCAGACTCTCCCCTCCCACAGGAGCAGGAATTAGGGGTGAGGGAGCTCCTGGCTCTGCCCTGGCACCCACTGCCCGTGGCTGCAGCCCCAGACACACTCCTGTGGGTCTCCAGAGCAGAAGCTCCAGACCTTTGGCATGACACAGGTGCAAGGCACTGTCAGCACCCAGAGCGCCACCCCAGCCAAGTCCTCCCACAGGAGATTCCCTCACTCTGGGCAGCAGAGCCGGTGCAGGAGCATGGCAGTGCCATGGCACGGGAGCTGCTGAGTGGCACTGTGTCCCTGCAGAGCCAGGGGCTCTTCTGAAGGCAAATACCTCTGCCAGAGAGGAGGGGCCATGGGTGCCCCCAGTTCCATCACCCAGGCATGGGGATGAGGAGAGGATTCATCCGAAGGAGCCCAAGGTGGAGGTCATCAGGGAATGTGGAGGATGCTGAGACTCCTGGGTGCAGGAGGCTGTGCACAGGGAGGGCAGTGCTGGTCATGCTGGGCAAGGGGTGTTCAATACTGGCACGGCCCTGGAAGGGGCAGAGGTGCCTCCTGCCCAGCCTAGGCGCTGTGGAAGATGCGGATGCGCTGTGCGATGTCCTGGCGGCACAGGGGACACGTGTGCAGCCGCTCACAGCAGCTCTGGCAGCAGCAGACATGGCCACAGGGCAGGAAAATCATCTGGGTCTGGGGGGAGAGACAGAGGAGAGAACACAGAGTGCTGCTGTCCCCTAACACTCATCCCACACAGGGCTGGAGGAGCTGGGGATCACCCAGGGGTGTCACAGTGTGGCAGGCAGAGCCCCACACCCCAAACTCCATCCCTGGGCACAGCTCACATGTGCAGGGTCTGGGCTGTGCCAGTGGGATACAGGGAAGGATACAGGACAGGGTTGAACTGAGTAACCCTGCAAACTCTTCCCATGGGTAGTGGGTGGGCACACAGCACAGGAGCTCAGTGAGGTCCTGCCCAGGCTCACATGGAGACCTGCCCTGCTCTGCCTCCCTCCATCCCTCCCTCTCCACTGTGCTGCCCAACTCCAGCTGTGCCCTGCAGCTGTAGGGATGAAAGAGCTGGACAGTGAGAGCTCATTGCCCAGGGCCAGGCTGGGCACACAGACCCGGAGGGATGTACTGGGTGCTGCCCTCACTCCACCCCCTGCTCCACCCCCGGGTGTGTGCCGCGGCCTCACCTCCTGCTCCATGCAGACAACACACTCCGACTTGTGATCCCACTGCAGCGGTGGAGCCGTGGGGCCCTCGGGGCTCAGAGGCTCCTCCAGGGGAGCGCTGGGCTCTGGGGCCGCAGGGACCTCGGTGTCCACTGTCCTCTGCAGCTCTGCAACCACAAGCAAGAGGTCTGAGCACCCAGAGCTGCCACTGCCCACCCACTTGGCATGAGTGGGCATGGCTGCAAGCAGAGAGGTGCTCAGGTGAATCACAAAGCCAATGAATCAGCTCAACAGTGCAGTTTCAGCCCTGCCCTCCCTGCCTCCCCTCCTCACACACTTGCCCTGCACAGCTCTGCTCCCCACAGGTCCTGCAGATCTCAGGTACCTGCTGTGAGTGTAAAACGTGTCAGAGACCAGGCAGAAAAGAACTGGGAATACCTGGGATCGTCTTGGCCACCGCCAGGATCTCCTGAGCCCTCCTGAGGATGGCATGCTGCAGGCCAGCCTCCCTCACACCGAGCTGTGGGCAAGAGGAGGCTGTTAGCCCCAGAGGGGACAAGCAGGCTCACATCCCAAAGGAGACACTGCAAACACCTGGGCAAGCTGTGGCCATGCCACAGGAAACCTCTCCAAGGGAAGCCCCTCCATCAGGCACCAAAGCCAGATGAGGAAATGTCCTCAGTGCCATTTCTACTACAAAGAACATCTGAAGGCTGTTGGAAGACAGATTCAAACTGCAGCTCACCCTGCAACTGCTCTGGGAGAGCCACTGCTCACTGGGGCAGGCAGAGCAGTGCAGGCACCTCGCCCTGCTGGGAGGTGACACACCAGGGCACCAGCACTCTGTCCTGCCAGACTGCCAGGCACAGCAGGGCTCTGAGCAAGGGCAGGGTCAGGGGGTGTTGTCCCACAGTGAGGATCTGCTGTCTCATACCTTTTCCAGGTCACTGGCAGTCATGGTGCTGAGCACCTCCAAGGATATTCGGTGGTGAGCGAAGATTGGCACATAGTGTTCAGCAGAGAGCTCGAGCAGAAGGTTCACCAGCTGCTGCTCCAAACCCTTCTCCTGCAAAAAAGAGTGAGCTTCCACACTGTGCTCTCCAGGCCAAGCAGCAGCACAGCTGGCAGTGTGCTCAGCCCTGCCCTGCCCCATCCATCCTGCATGCCAAAACCAATAAAGCCCAAAAGCTCAACAGCTGGAGCAGCTCTGGCTCCAGGTGTCTCATGAGCACAACTCAAAATGCTGCAGTCAGGGAATCATAGAATGTCCTGAGCTGGAAGAGACCCTCAAGGAGCATTAGTCCAACCCCTGCCCTGCACAGGACACCCCAACACTGCACCCTGTGCCTGAGAGCATTGGCCAAACACTCCTGGAGCTCTGTCAGCCTTGGGGCTGTGACCACTGCCCTGGGGAGCTGTTCAGTGCCCAAACACCTCTGAGGGAAGAACTTCATCCTGACACAGCTGACATTCCCTGACACAGCTCCAGCTGTTTCCCCAGGTCCTGTCACTGGTCACAGAGAGCAGAGATCAGAGCTGCCCTGCACTTCCCCTCAGGAGGAAGCTCCAGACTGCTGAGGTGTTTCCTCATGAATGAAACCACCACTCTGGCAGCTCATGTCTGCAGCAGCACCTGCATTGCTCATCTCTTTGCCTGAACCCATCTGCAGCACAGGCAGAGCTCAGCTCCATCTCCTTGTGCTCACCCCAGAGGGATTTTAATAGCACAAAGTCCTGGCTCGGGCTGTAAGGGCAGGAATGGGCAGGAGCTGCTACATCCAGATGGATTTGCAGTGGAATTTGGGGAGCCAAGCAGAGCTGTTTGGGTGCTCAGCTGGGACAAGCAGCCCTGCCTGGAAGGTATTGAGTCCTCTGCTCCTGGCCAGAAGCCTGAGGCTGGGACAGCAGCTCCTGTTGGGAACACCAGAGGTGTTGGCTCCATACAGACCTGGGCAGCCCCATCCCCTCCACAGTGCAGGAATGAGTGAGAACTGCTGGGCTCAGAGCACCATGGGCAGCCTGGAGTCTGTGTGAGGGCTCTGTGCCCTGCTCCCTGACTTAGCTGGACCTGTGGGCTCAGGGGGGCTGCCCTTGCTGCCCCCACACACTGCAGAACACAGCCACAGTGTCAGGGGTAATGGCAGGAGGCCCCGCAGGTTTAGGGGGGGAGGCGTTTTGGGACTGGATCAGCCAGTAGTTCTCCTGTTTGGTTTCACTCTTTGCCTCCATTTCCAGCTGAAAAACAAACTCATTCATTCAACAGCCCAAGGGAACATGGTTAGTGGGGTTTAGGGAAGGCTGAGATGGATGTGCAGGAAGGGAACCCTTGGCCTGGGCTGTGCAGTACTGCAATGGGCATAGCCAGGGTGAAACAGGCATTTCTGGCCTCCTGCAGCCTCGTGCCACTTTGACCCCCTCCAGCCAGGCCAGGGATGTGCATCTCCTTCACTCCCTTTTCCCCAGACATTGGGGCTTGATCTCCTGAAGCCCAGGAAGGTCTGGAGATCTTCAGGATTGCCAGGCTACAATTCCAGCTCCTTGTGGGATTGGGCTTTTCCCCAACTCCCTTTCCTGCTAGGGAGACTGACACTGATGGTGCCTCGTGCTGCTCACATCAGCGGTGCTAACAGAGCTCACATCAGACCGTTGTGGGGTTAAATTGGCCTCTGGCTCTGGACACAGCCCCACGGAGCCCCCTCTGCTCCCTTTTACACCCATGCTGACCCTCCCACAGACTCTCCCTGCAGCCAGCCCAGGTGCTCCCTCATCTACAGCACCTCCTGTGTGGCTTTCTTACCAGGACTTGTTGCAGTTCTTCCTCCCTTTGCTTCTTCTCCTTGAGCAGCTGCTGCAGCAGGCGGCCGAGCGCTTGGCGTTGCTCTGTGACCACCCCCTGCAACAGAAGACCTCTGGCACCCACATCTCCTCACCACAGGGCTGCCAGCAGCCACCCTGCCCAGCAAAGCACTTACCAGACCCAAACCAGTCACTGTGGGTGTGGAATCCCTGTGCTCCACAGCCTGGATCCTCTCCTAGCAGCTGGTATGGAAGACCTGAGCTGAACCCATTCACTTCAGTCCTGAGCTGATCAATACCTGGTGGTGCCACCCCCCAGCAGCTCCTCATTGCTCCATCAGAAGGTTCAGGCAAAGGCATTACAACGGGTTCATGGTCTTCCTCCTTTGCATCATGGCATCACAGACTGGTTTTGGTTGGGACCTTAAAGCTCATCTCTTTCCACCCCCTGCCCTGGGCAGGGACACCTTCTGCTAGCCCAGGTAGCTCCAAGCCTCATCCAACCTGGCTTTAAATGAGAAAGTGGGTCTAGAAGCCTGTGGATAAGCAGGACAGGTAAGGTAGGAACCTCTCCATGCCTTTGGGAAGGTTCCTTTGAGGTCTCACCCCAAACACCATCAGGCCCCGGGGTAAGGTCAGTCATTCCTGCAGCCACGTCTCACCCCAAACACCATCAGGCCCCAGGGTAAGGTCAGTCATTCTCGCAGCCCCAGCATGGCAAGGGAGAGGTTAATTGGCTTGGGAATATCCAGCCATGAGACCTCTGCAGACAGCTTATACCTGCTGGGAGGATCATTATCTGAGCAGAGGCCAGTGGCCATCAGTCACAGGGACTTCAGATGTCCATAGACAGAGAGACAAGGATTCTGTTAGAATCTGACCTCCTAAAGGAATGTGGGGAACCTACATTGATCACAGAATCACAGACTGGTTTGGGTTGAAATGGCATTAGAGCTTATCTTTTTCCACCCCCTGCCATGGGAAGTGTTATCTTCTTCCACCCCCTGCCATGGGAAGGGACACTGTCCACTAGCCCAGGTTGTTCCAAGCCCTGTCCAGCCTGGGATCAGCACCTGGACCCTGCACAGGGACAAGGTGCTGTGTTTAACAGAGGAACACTTGTCTCCCATGGGCCAAACTCACTGCCAGGTCCCCAGAGCTGCTTTGTCCTGACAGAGGCAGGAAGCACCAGGACCTCCACCCCCTGCCATGGGAAGGGACACTGTCCACTAGCCCAGGTTGTTCCAAGCCCTGTCCAGCCTGGGATCAGCACCTGGACCCTGCACAGGGACAAGGTGCTGTGTTTAACAGAGGAACACTTGTCTCCCATGGGCCAAACTCACTGCCAGGTCCCCAGAGCTGCTTTGTCCTGACAGAGGCAGGAAGCACCAGGACCTCCACAGAGGTGCCAGGGACAACTGACAATAGGTGGGAGCTGTTCCAGACCCAGACAGCTTCAGCCAGCCCTGAGGTGAGCTCTCTGCCCACCAGCACTGCAGACACCCACAGGAATCACTCCCTGCTGGGCTGACCTTGCACAGACCTGTGTGAGCTCTTTCCCAGTGTCTCTGGTTCTTCCCACCTCCCAGTGATCCACTAAGGTCCTTACTAAAGCACTACTGGGGGGAAGCACCTGATTGCTGCATGGGAGGGATCACACCTGACTGCAGAAAAGCCTCTGCCACAGCACTTTTGGGCACAGGGAGATCAACCACAGCAGGGACCCTTTGGGCTGAAGACCAGGAGGATCCAGAGAGGTGTTCATGCTTTGTTTCTTGGCACACAGTGCTGGGCTGCAGGTGGGTCCCTGGGCAGAGCCCTGTTCCCTGCACTGCCCAGCAGCTCCTGTGCTCACCAAACAGGAGTCACACCACTCTGGTTTCATTTGGATTACACGTGCATGGGAGTCCTTGGTCTTCCCTGCACAAACTCTTGAGTCGCTCCCCACCCTCTGCCCTCCAACACTGCATACAGATAGAGGTGTCTGATTTCAGGCAGCACAACCCAAATCTTCTATCTGAAGGGTCCAGCATGGGGCCTGGAGGCAATCCTGCCTCAAGTCAGCTGTGTGCAGTGCTCTGGGAAAGGACATGGGGTTTGCCACTGATTTCAGGCTGACTAAACAGGTGACCTGACCTGGCACATGGCACACAGAAGATGCAAAGGCACCACAACAAAATTAAAAGCCAAGCTTAAGTTAAACCTGATACTCCTGAGTGCATGAGTACTGATGAAGTCAGCCCATCAAATGGTGGGATGGTGGGGCAAGGGGGAAAAGGCTCAGGAATGAGGGGGGAGCTGGCAGCCATCACTGGAAGGTACTTAAAACCAAAACACAACGTAAGACATGCAATGCACAGCAGACAGGTGTTTTTGGGCCAGCCAACAACTGGATTGCAAAGTCTTTCCCCACCCAGCACTCCTGGAACTGCCCATCCCTGTCAGGGCTCCTTTGTCTCTCCCCTGGGGATGATTAGGAGCAGCAGTGATGTTCCCACATTGCCAGGACAAAGAGGGGTTGGTGGTGTCCTGTGGGGAAGTACCTTCTGCCTAAGCATAAAACCACCTGGAAACTGCAAGGAGCAAAGGAAGCAAGTGGAGCTGTGGCAGTGCCAGAGCAGAGAGGGTGGGGGGCAGCCCCAGAGCCCCACATACCTGCAGCGTCTCTGTGTCCAGTTCTTGCCTCTTTAACTCCAGCTGTGTCAACTGCAATAACTCTGTTTCTATTAATTTAATCTAAACAGAAGATGAGACATTTTTTTACTGACATTTGAAATGAATTGATGCCCTTTTCAAATGAGGTCTGACTGCTGCCCTGGGAGCACAGCACAGCACCCAGAGCTGTAGGGAAGCTCCTCATGCTCTTTGCTGATGTGTGCTCTCAGGGTCCCTGTTCCTTTGCCAGAGGAGCTGTGTCCCCACTCTCTAATTGCCTCTCTACTCTAAACACCTTCTGTTGAAGTCTAGAACCACACTGCAATCAGTTGGTGCACCCAAACCTTTTGCAGCCACTCTGGGAGGCACCAACTGATTGCCAAAGCCCTCCCAGCACCACAGCTCAAACTGGACTGCCTGGAGCAGAGTCCTGGTTTCCAGATGCTCCAGCACAGGACAACTGAGACACAGAGAGGTGAAGTGAGTTGCCCAGGACCCCACAGCAAAGCCAAGATGAGAGCCCACCTCCTGTATCTCCCAGGCCACACTGCCCAACACCTGCCACAGATCACAGAGCTCCGAGGGTGGTACCAGGGCTCCTGCCCCTTCCCTGCCTCTGCAGCACACTGGGAGTGGGATGGGTTGCAAGAATAAAAGGTCCAGCCTTGGTATCAAGGAACAAACTCCCTTTGTTCACAGAACAAGTGGGAGCAAACTGCAGGGCTGTTATGGATGATCTCAGGCAATGATGGAGAGTTGTCAGACTCAGCTCCTGGGTGGCCCACACACAGTTCATAGGCTTCCAGCAGAGTCTGCTCACTGGGTGACTCAAAATATCCAAGCTCTTAAGTTTATCCACCAAATGCTGACCTGAGACTGTTCTGCTAGAGCTAGATCAGGAGAGGGAAGATTCTGGAGCATAGTGTCAGAAATCACTGTCCCACCATACTGCACCAACCACCACTGTCCCACTTTCCTGCACCAACCACCACTGTCCCAGTTTCCTGCACCAACCACCACTGTCCCACCTTCCTGCACCAACCACCACTATTTTCTCCACCAGCTCTTGCTCTTCCCCCAGCTATCACAATGCACCTTCTGCAGAATGGAGCTCAGAAAGGCAGGATGAGAATTGGAAAGAAAAGGTGAACTTATGGCTCAGGTGCAGTTCTGATGTGCTGGATGGAGATGCAGTGAACTCGTGGAATCAGCAGCTCTTGCAAGTACACAGCCTGAAGAAAATTGGAGTTGCAACTGCAGATCAAGCCGCTCTTCCCCCAGCTATCACAATGCACCTTCTGCAGAATGGAGCTCAGAAAGGCAGGATGAGAATTGGAAAGAAAAGGTGAACTTATGGCTCAGGTGCAGTTCTGATGTGCTGGATGGAGATGCAGTGAACTCGTGGAATCAGCAGCTCTTGCAAGTACACAGCCTGAAGAAAATTGGAGTTGCAACTGCAGATCAAGCCCCAGTGCAGTTCCTGCACCAACCACCACTGTCCCACCTTCCTGCACCAACCACCACTATTTTCTCCACCAGCTCTTGCTCTTCCCCCAGCTATCACAATGCACCTTCTGCAGAATGGAGCTCAGAAAGGCAGGATGAGAATTGGAAAGAAAAGGTGAACTTATGGCTCAGGTGCAGTTCTGATGTGCTGGATGGAGATGCAGTGAACTCGTGGAATCAGCAGCTCTTGCAAGTACACAGCCTGAAGAAAATTGGAGTTGCAACTGCAGATCAAGCCTGGAGCCAGTGCAGGCCTGTCCTCTAGTGACCACGCCAGTGCTGAAGTGGTTGAGGGAATGACAATACCAGTACCTCCAGGAATCTAAAACCTGCATTGACACTCCCTCTCTCAGAGCTGGGAGACTGGAGGTAAACCAACACTGCTCAATGCTCTGTTGCAGAGTCCTCAGCAACACCAGAGCTCCTCATGTCCTTCAGACCCTGCTCTGTGCTCACAGCACTTTGTTCTTCCTCACAAGGGTCTTATCACAGCAGTGTGAGCCAAGGAGACGTTGCTCTTTCCTCTGTTGCTGACTCACCTGGTTCCTGATCTGCCTGTGCATTAGGTCCTTCTTCACCTGGAGAGCTTCAAAGGCAGCTTTCTGCATCTCAATCTAAGGGACAGGCAATATAGCATCATATCATGTTAAGGGGTTGGAATGGACCTCAGAGAT